TCTAGAATAAAATCTCTAGTATTAATTATCTCTAATAAAAAATATTAATTTAGTATAAGATAATAATACTTTATAAGAGGGTTAAAACACTTATAATCTATTAGTTACTAAAGCTTATATATAAAAGCTTCTATTATAACTTAATCCTAATATTACTTATACTTAGCGCCTAAATATAATAAAATAATATTTAATTACCCTATTAATAGACCTAAGCTTTACCCTCTCTATTAGTATATTTAATTCTTATCTAATTAACCTCTATAAGAAGTACTTAAATACCTATAAAGAGAGGGGTTTTACTCTTATAATCTACCTTAATAAAAAAAAGCTAAATCTTAGAAGCTTAAACTATATATAGATATTATTTTATAGTACTTAATACTATTATTATAAAACGTCTAATATAAATCTATATAATATATCTTAAATATATATTAATATAGGTATAAATCTAGAAACTAAATCTCTTTAGCTTTTTATATCTATCTATAAACTATAAGAAGTTAGGTCTAAGGACTTTAAAGTTAGTATAGTATTACTAATTACCCTTTTATTATTAAGCTATTTTATTTAGGAATATCTATATATAATAGTTATAAATCTAGTTTTTTCTAATAATAATATTAACTATAAAGTAGATATACTAATAGAGGTAGCTCTACTTAAAATTTAAAATAGCTAATATCCTCTATAGATCCTTCTCTATAAACTTAATTACTATTACTTTAACTTTAGTTCTCTCTTCTTTATTAAAATATTATTACTTTATATTATATTTTTATTATATTTTCTTTAATTATTCCTATAATAAAGTACTATATCTTTAGTAAATAAGTTTTTATAAAATCTAATTATCTTTTATATTCTATTAATAGAAGAGATATTTAATTATAAGAAGTATATTCTCTTTCTATTCTAAATTATATTAACTATAGTACTATAATCCCTAGTTAGTAAGCTAATACTTAAATATCCTTTTACCTATATTTATACCCTCTTCTAAGAGTATAGTTACTATATTATCTATAAAGATATTATTAAAGAAGAGGCTTTTAATAAATAGACGATAAAGTTCTAGGTTAATAAGTATACCTTAACCTATAATAAACTTAGTGAATATAGTATAGAGAGAGTAAAAAGATATTAAACTTAACTTTATAATTATAAGTAATTATAGGGGGATTCTAAGTAGGTAGAGGGAAAAAATTAATATAGTTATTAACGTAGTAGTGAGGGTATAGGGTTAAATTAGCCTAACTTTCGTCTACGAAACCCCTAAAATCTGAGGTTGGCGGATTTACCTTAGTGGTGCACCGTAAGTACGCTACCCCCGGCTAGCTGATATCAGCTGTTCATGCTTCAGGCTGGCGGCTAGCACATATTAATCCAACGGCGCCGTTTCACTTTTACCTGGTTTTTCTTCTTCTCTCACGAATCTTTGAAAGGCGAAAGAAACTGCCATCATCACAGTGACAAGACAACGCACCGCGAATCAACCCACGCCGAAGACGCAAATCTACCGACATTTAATCCACCACAACTTACGATGCGAAACCCATTCAAGGCCAAGAAGCAGCGTCAGACTTGGGAAGGTCGATCGAGAGCGCTCACACTGGACGACCCCGTCTTCAAGGACTGGGACAAGGAGGAGCTCAAGTTCGAGCCGAGACACCAAAAGTCGGATGAAGAACTCGCAAAGAAATCCGCAGCCAGCGATGGCGGTGACCCTTCCCGCCTCTCTGGCGAACACGCTGGGTCATACTACAACTTCGACAGCACGCTAGGCTACGCGACCGTCGCGGGCGCTTTCTCTGGTGCTGAGGCCGGGGGGCCGAGCGATGCGGGCGCCAGCAGCAACGCGCCCGACAGTGGAGCCAGCGCTTCGGGAGGTGGGGATCCATCCGGCGGGTCTTCTGCATGACTTGAGGCTTTGAAGATCGTTGGGATGACGCCGGTCTTGCAGCGGCATAAATGATGGATTATTCGGGGCTTTCGATTTTGAGCTGTTGGAGGAGTCTATCTTGGGGAGTTTGTTCTGAAATGACTTGTTTCCGCGGGCTGGCGCTTGGAGTTTGGGTTTATGAACCATGCACGAAATTGTACGATGTCGATACCACTTGGGAGGCTAATCTCGAATCTTTCGGTCGCGGATATATGGAGATAAGAGCAAAACGCACGTTAAAATGACATCATTATTTGAAAGAACAGAAGGTGGACTTTTCGGATGATGAACCAATCGCATGTCAATATTGCGGACGTGATGCGTGATGGACGGACTGGCCGAGAGGATGCTAGGATGCCTAGCAAGGGGCACGATGTAGGATCGTGGCACAACAACGCAGGCGAGAGAATATGGAGCAAACATTTCTCGCTTGGTCGAAGTCGCCACGCGATACACCGTCGAGCTGGTCTAAGAGGGCATCTGAGTATGAATCAGGGTCTCGCGTTAGCCACCACTACTTTAATCCTCCCTGGAGGAGCTTTCGGCCAATTCCCAGGAGGACCAGGATCAAAACCTAAGACTTCCAACTGAAGTTGAACTTTCTTTCGCCTTTTGCGTCAAGTTACTGTCGTCATTTGTAGCTAAGCGAGCTTACCAGTCATCACCGTTTGCGAGACAATGTCTAGCAAACAAACCCCTTGGCTCAGCCCTCTTAGGCGATGCTGACTGCAGGCTGCCTTGCAGGCGACCACGCCAGCCGCAATGCGATTCCTTGGCAATGAGTGTTTAAGAGGCATAAGCCATCTTTCCAACCTTCGATGTCTTCATCAAGCAAGCCCTCATTGTTCTCGCACATTTCAAGTCGTTTCCAACTTGGGCCATTAAACAAATCTTATCGGACTTCCATTTCAAACGTACCGCCGGCGGAAAGACTAAAATGCCAAGCGACAAACATGACTGATAACGGAGCCAATGACTTTTGCCCAGTCATCGATTGCTACAACCTGTCAGAGACTTCAATTCAAGCATATCCTGACATCTCGGGCAATGGTGTAGGTAGAATGTGCAATCTTATGGTATGTGATCTGAAGTGCTAATGCCCTTTAGGTTTTGATTGGCTTTATGGGAACAGCCTATCTTGTACTGTTGTTGGTCATTGGCAACTATTTCCTCGCATATGACCCCACGGACTGTCCCTTTCACAGCGGGAACTCCAAGAATGAGAGCATAAATAGAGAGCTGTGGCGGCCAAATCCGATCGATGAGAGGTTCCTTAGGTGGGTCCGGAAGGGACCGTTGGTATTCACGGATGACACCTGCGCACGCCTTCGAATGGCATTTGATGAGGTAAATAGCCTCAGTTTGATTCTTCCATTGATACTTTAGGAGACCGCCTAGTTTTCCTGTGTCTGCGCGGCTATATTTCCTGTGCACTTGATTACTCCTATCGAAAGCGATAGTATCGATAGCGACGATGAGGACGAGGATGAGGACGACTATAACGATAACGACGATAATACTAGAAGCGACGACGACGACGACGATAGTAAAGTGATTAGAGTATATTCACAGGAAAAGTAGTCGCTCTAGCGCAGGGAAAATAGGCGGTCGCTAATTTAGCATATTGCCAGTGATGACTAACAAATTGAATAGTCAATCATCATGCTCTGTGACGTACAAGTCGTCACTGGGCTCGGCATTCTGATTAGCGGATTTGTCCTCTTACGATGTGGTCTGGACGCTATTCACTGGCAAATAGCCGTCTTCTTAGCGTGGTTTTCTACCGTCACCCATCTATCTGGGCTAACGGTTCTTCGGACTCACCTCAACACCTATGTCTGGTCCAAGCATCTGCGATTTTCACTCATGTTCCTTCTCCTGATTCTTCTCCTAGTGGGAATCGTACCCACCGGATTCTTCAGCCTGCGGAACAAGAACTTTTCCTCGCCAGCAGTATGCTACTTTGACCTGAAGTATGGCTTCTGGAGATTCAACGAAACCTTGAGTCAAAGCGACTTCCCGGAGGTGCAGCTGGAACGTACGCCGGCATATCAGGCTATGGTATACTCCATGGTCTTGCTTGTTCTCGGCTTTGGTACCCGGTCTATGAAGTTGCTCCACCCGTTGTCTAGGACGTTCAAACTCAACGTCAGGAAGCCAATGAGTCGTCGCGTGAGAAGACTTTTGACAAACTTCTCAGACGCACCGGCATCATCAGATCGCAGGAAAATGCTCAGGACTGAGCTCATCTTGAAGCCTGCTTTGGCAGGGTTCTTTATGGTCAGACTGACGTCAGACTTTTTCAGCTCGTCCCTTTTTGAGGTGTGTCAACCCAGAAGTCACTCCGAGAAGTTAGGGACGGCTTGACTGACAATTGTCTCAATTTAGGTTTACTGGCTCTGCGTGATCCTAGTCTGGGGCATTATTAAACTTCTTGGTACCCGGAATGAGCTCCTTGGCCTCATCGTTACAGCCGTCGACGAAGATCAGCTCACGCTGGCTGAGGCGGAGAACCAGTGGACTTTTGGGCAAATACTGCCTGTAATCCTCTTGTTCGGCCCGGTCTTCACGATATTCGGCACCTTTGTTCACCACATCACTAAGCCGGACTCTGCAGACTCGCAGCCTCAACAGCACGATGTCTATTCAGATAGCGGGTCCAATGGGGCCGCCATGTCCGGCACGACGGTGGCTCCCAGTCGCGCCACATCATTCGGACAAGAGAGTACGAAGATAGCATCGAAGGATGCGGAACCCACGGAGAACGCCGCCGACTCTCACGCTGGCTCGTACGATACGGATGAGGCTTTTCATCAGGCTATCCCGCATCTTGAAGATTACAGGTGCGCGTCTTGGCTGCCCGTCTGCGCAGCCTTCCCGTTTCTCGGGCTGCTAGCAGCGGTGATGATGGCCTTTGCAGCGTCGTTCGTTTTCAACAACTACTTCCAGCCAGGCCTGACGCTATACGATCTCTGGATCAGCGACCTCAATTTTGTCTGCAATCTGTTCATCAACTACCCCTGCGCTTGTGCAACGACCATCCGATTGGGCCTGTGGATGGAAGGAAAGCATCCAGCGAATAGTGCGCCCCAAGGATGGAGAAAATTACTGTTCTTCTGCGCCTGTGCAATCATTTACTGTGCGGACTTTCTACTGACGATGAGAAGGCCGCACATTTTTGAGCTTTCTCATCGGTGGCTGTCGATATCACCGATTGGTGGGCTGATAGTCACTTTGTGCTTGTACATCTCCCACGCCGCTGTCTTGTCTCTGGGGACATTGAGGAATAATGTCTCTGCAGCATGACTGAAACAGCAGTCGGGTTTTCTTACCTGTGTCAAGAAGCACAAAAAGTCTTTTCCACCACTTTTTTATCGTTGTATCGTGAGCTGGCTCAAGAAAACAACGTTGTATCTATATGTCTTTAGTAATTATTGACGGAGAGTTTTGCTGGCCGGGCAGTGTCTAACGCGCACCCCCTTTTATTTTAAAGCAATTAAATTTCTTGTACTCGCTGTTGTCGTCACTGTCATCGTCACTATTATCGTCCGTCGTCTTCGTCCATGGTTGGAGCGAAGTATAAGTATACTACGATCAAAGTCATAGAGAGCACTGCCCAGATAGCAGAATCCTTGAAGTAATAGTACAAAACCTGCTGTATTATATGTGGAGATGTTGCGGAGGGTGGGGTGAAGTGTTTAAAGCCTTTATCGTCCCAGACGAATGCACAAAGCTCTTTTCGACTCGCCAAAAAGCCTAGTGAGGGAAACCCTGCGCCATGAAATAGACGAGAATAGCACCAGTAATGAAGAGGGAGTCCGTCTTGTGGCGTGGACATTGCTCGAGGTGAAGCTAGCCACGGAGCTTATCAGTCTTGGGAGAGGATGGATGTATAGATCAGGATAGACAATGCACCGCCTGTAGATATACCTAGATATAGGATAGGCCAAAGTCACATGGAAAATATTCAGGGGCTACTAATCGTTGCCTCAGCATGGCTCTAGTCGTTGGTATCATTGGTGGTTGCCCTATTATAGTTTGTCCGATGTCTAGTGCTCGGGCACGGGAATATACACAGCCTCGAACCATATTTGAACCTGTATCGCGCCCAGACGACCACTGGATCCAAATGGTGACTGCAGGTCTGTTCCTTATTGCGGCCAATAACATGTGTCAACGGCAATCGGGGTAGTCATTGTGAGCAGGGCCCCAAAAGGCAGACAATTGCGGGGAGGCTTCGCAAGGCCTAGCTGCAGGGTCTATCAGCGTGAGAACACTCATCAAGACAGAAGCTCCATACCTGAGTTGTAGGCGGGCGTGAATAATCGCATGCCCAAGGCGTACATGTGCCCTGGCCGTTTGGACTTTTGCAAAAGCAAGGCGCCGACTCTCTCGGACGAAGAGAGCATGCAACGCCGGGTATCATAGCATATCTTCGTCTTCGTCATAATCAACACCCTCTCCGCGCTCTTCCTCCTCCTCGCGTCTGCTAGCCTCGGCGCTCGCGCCAATCTTCCGTACGCCCTCTATGACGCCCAGGAAGAAGCCGCGGCTCTCGGCCAGCTCCATTGCTCCCACTCCACGCAGACTCATGACACCCGCAACCTCGGAAAGCTCTTCCGTGCTCTTTCTCAGCTTCGCGGACCGCACTTCTTGGAGGTCTCGGAGGAGTGACCTGACTTCTGAAGGGGCAGGTATATCGTCGATCGCGTGGGCGAGCAGTATCTCTGCGAGCTCGAACCAATGGTATGGCAGGGCGTTTGGCGGGGCATCGGCGGTACATGAAGGTAGGAACGGGGCGGAAAGCGTCTCTTCGCCGTATCGGCTGGCGTTTCCTAGCGCGTCGCCTCTGGCGGGCGGTGGTGGAGGGGGCGAGAAGGCATCGGGCTCGACTTTGGTTTCGTGGTGGACGATCTTGGCAAGCGACTGGGGATGGAGCCACGGGGGAGGGACAATGTTCGCTCGACGTTGTTTCTTGAGGAGGAGGGCGAGCCACATGGGCAGATCGGCGCGTGCCGGAGGTCGTAGGGCTGGTGTTGCACCCTGCAAGACGGAGTGACACGTCAGTAAAGGGATCGATGGCGACGCGTCGCGGGGGGCACGATGGAGGGGCTCACGCTTAGCAGGTCGATGCTCTCCAGACGCTGGCGGGGCACAATTGTGACCAGTTCCATTTCGCAAAGGAAAGCAACTTCGGCGGGTACGAGACCCGACGGCAGCGGTAAGGCCATGGTCTCTGGCGGGAGATCTGTCGCAGGTGACGGAACGGACTGGATGATGTCGGGGACGGAGCTCAGGTTTGGCGGCGGTGCAAAGGCGCGTCAGGTCCGCCGCGGCGGGGAGCGCGGAATCTGGAATGAACCGGCCCGCTGTGCCTGAGTGATGGAGGTGGGGCAGGGTCTGGGCGTGGAATGGAAGGTGCACTGAGTGTGGGGTGGCCCTTCCGTTCAGTGAAATTCTCTTTCGCGCCTTGACATTTTGACAAGTCCACAGTCCATCTGCAGGCTCGGGCTGAGGTACGTACCGGGGGCTCGGAGTCGGGCTGCAAGGCCGAGCTCCACTTGCATCCCGAAGCCCCACTCGAGGCCCGGCCCCTCCGTGCCGTTTACCAGGCAAGCGGGCAAGCAAGGCGTGGAGGGAAGATGCTGATAAGGCGGATAAGGTCGCCATGCGGAAAAAAATCCCATTCTCTGCCAACTGGGGTCGCGTAAATGTAAGGCTCAGGGGTAAGGTCCAGCTGAAATGTTGCCCTACTGGACGAGCTGATAGCCCTATTTGGACCTCGGCTTGATTAAAAAGCTGCGCGCCTGGACCAGTCCAGTCCAGCATGGTTGGCTACGTTCCAGACCCTGGATCCAGACCCCCGGCGAATCGGCGCGACACGGCGAGATGCAGTATCGTGGCAATTGATGCACGTCGAGAGCACTCGGTTTCCAGCCTCCTCCTCTCATCCCGTGCTTTCGTGCATACGCATGTTCGAACTCAATAATCGCGCCAAGGCACCGACACCGCGGATGAATACGGACAGCGATGCCTGGTCCTAGTCGTACCGAGACCCCAAGACTTTTGTTTTTCTCGTCGGGGCTTGTCCGGTAGGCGTGCCCGGGACTAAGTACCTACATGCAATGCCGTTCCGCGCTAATCACCATATGAGGCCACAACTTCAAAGATACGAGCCAATAACATGCCTTGCTATCGAAGCGTTCCTTGCCGAGAAACATTATGTAATCCTCCTCATTGAGATCTCTGTGTCACTTCATCTACTAGGGAAAGGAAACCTGCTCTGGCCTAACGGTTGCGACTTGAATTGCCGATCTCACCCCCTTTGCCCACACAACACAACCTCACCGGTCGGGATTCTCCGACGTCTCGTCCCATTCAGAGTTCTCACGTGCGTTCCATATCCACCGTTTAACCACGCTGTACCGTATTCCTCATACGGTGACCCTTCTTGCATAGGACACCGGACCTGGAGTCGAAGCCCGGCAACCGCGGATTTTGTTGTCCTGTCTGTGATGAATTGATCTGTGCTGCCCAGAGCCTCGCCTCGCCTCGCCTACCCCCGTGACGGTGACCTTCGCCAACAGCCGCAGTTCGTCACAAAAGAGTCGTATTCGAATCTCGATACAGACGAACGTCTTGGCTGTGTCCGAGTCATTGATGACGAATCCTTCCGTTCTCCCCGACATCTCGTCCGAACGCTAGGTGCCTACCCCGGCTCGGAGCCTGGAATCAGGGAGGAAGAGAAAGAGAGAAGGGGAACTGCAAGGATCTCTAGGGCCCAGCCAGGCTACACCACCACTTACGCTGTCTGTGTGTGTTTTCCAAGGCCACAAGTCCCAAACGGCCGTACCCCACCGTCATCCAACAAGCACGCATCCTGCTTCTCAAGCACACGCTTGCTTGAGGGGGAGGGTCTGGTGGCGCATTCAGTATCCGCCAGCTTGGCCGCGGCCGCCCTCATTGGGACTTGCACTTCTGCAGGAAAGGCGGTGGCCCAGACGTGGTGTCCTTTCCTTGGGCTGCTGCGAGACTCGGGTGGAGTGTTTTCAGCTGGCATTGCCCATCAACACCGCATTCTTCCTTCTTCATACCACCAGTGACTACGCGTGGCGGCCCGATCCTGCCTCCAACTGACGGGGTCGGCAGTTCCTGACGGGCAGCCACGCACTGTCTTAGGGGCATAATTCCATTGTGGAGCTCTCCATCTTCACCTACAGTGGTGTTTCGGGCATGACACCGCAGACTCTGGCTGGTCATCGAGCCCTGCCGTTGTCCACCGTTGTCCACGGTCTGCAACCTCTTTCCGCGGGGATCATCTGCCCAGAAAGCCCTATTGATCAGAAGAGGAAGTCCGCCTGCGGCGCCAAACAAGAGTCTTCTAGGGCTCTGGCGCCGCATTATCTCTCCCAAATCAGGGTTGCTTCTTCGTCGAATTTTCTCCACCGGCCGCAGCCCCCCCTAACGGACGGCCAGCCCTACCAGCAACCTCTTGGAGGGTTTTGTCAGCCGCTCGTCGGAGCAGATTGTCTGCCTTTTTCTGCTTTAAGCTTGAGGCAAACTCTCGACCATGGCAACGCCCTCCACGAAGGACAACTTGGCTCCTCAACCGGAATTTGGTAAGATCCTGTTCAACAAGCCGTGCAGTACGTGCCGCCGCCGCAAAGTGAAATGCGACAGGCAACTGCCATGTGGAACTTGCGGTAAGAACGGCACGGCCGCAACCTGCACTTACGATGTTCCGCGAGAGGGCACCCCCGAGAGCCAGCAGCGGCTCCAGGAGAGGGTGGCGCGTCTCGAGAGAGAGATTGAGGAGCTGAAAGGGATGGCTGCACGCGGTGAACCGTTAAGGCCTCCGAAGATTCCCCTGCTATCGACAACTCCATCAAGCTTCAGCGAGTACAACAGCATCGAAGAGTCCATGGCTGGCGACCCCGGAATCCAAGTTGACGACGAAAACGTGTCTTTCTATCTCGGACCGAATTATTGGCTCAACATCCAAGAGTATAACTACGAACCTCGCCATCTCTACCGTATCGAGTCCGACAAGACCGGCAAGAATCCGGATAGTCCTACTGCTTGGCCAATTGGTAGGAACCCAGCATTGCCGGATATGTCCCATTTCCACCTCGATCCGGGAAAAGAAGACATCTTGACCGACCTCTTTTTTGCACATGTCGAGCCGTTTATCCGGATGTCCCACAATGCTTACTGGAGACAGCAAATCACGGATTTCCGAGTTGGTGTCAGCAAGATTCCGGTGGACGTAGAAGCGGCGATGTTTACTACTCAGGCGTTGACTGTAGCCGCGTTACCCGCAGTCGTGGTCCAAGAGAAGCTTGGGAAGGCAAAAGAAGACGTTCTGCGGTACCTGCAGGAGGCTTCGCAACTCGCATTAGAGCGGGCAGATATTCTGCGCAGCAGGAAACTCCTTGCATTCATCGCGTTGCTTTACCATATCGTAGGTTAAATGCTTTTGACTGCCTCTGGGCTTGTCACGGCTAGGGAAAGGATACATGCTGACATGTATAGCAAATGAAATTTATTACGGGTGATGGAGAAATTGCCGTCTCTCTCCTTGGCTTGGCTGGTCGTTTTGGGACTCGAATAGGGCTGCATCGCGACCCAGGTCATTATCCGACATACACACCGTGGGTCACAAACATGCGACGACGGATATGGGGGCATTTTGAGCTCTTGGACAATCCAGTGTACAACCTCGAAGGAGCTGATTCTGGACTGCCATTTATCTCCGATACGCAGTCTGCAACGAACGCAAACGACAGTCAGTGGGTTCCTACTAGGTTCGCCAAACCCAGCTCTGCCCCATCAGATCAAGAGGGAATTACAGATATGTCCTTTGTTCTGGTGCGTCAGTGCTTGATGAAGACCATGCAGTCCATCGCACGAAGGAGGACCGGTTCCAGTCCAGAAGAGCTCGGCAGAATTGTTGAGCAGACGGAGAATTTCTTGACGACCAAGTTCATGAGTCATGTCATTGCCGCAAATCCGAGCCATGCGATCATGCTCTCGTACTACAAGAGCTCAATGAAGAGCATGAGACTTCTGATCCATCAACTTCACGCACAGCGTACGTTTGGCCCGGAGCCCGATTATCGGGCGAAGTAAGATCGAAAGCCTTTCCTTCATGGTCTGATCGACGTTACTAACATTGCTCTACCCTCTCAGGTACTACCAGGAATGTGTCGAAATCCTAGAAGAGATGGAGCGTGGAGAAAACATCGCACTGCAGAACCACTGGGGCTGGCTTTACCGATGGCCAACAACGCCCTGTTTGATCTACAATGTACTCATTGGCCTGCGCGATCAATCAAATCACCCAATTACGGACCGAGCCTGGCGGCAAATCAACGTGGTGTTCCGGAGGCACAACAACGAAGACATTAGCATGCGCAAATTTGCTGCTTGGCGAGTTATCGAGGAGCTCTGTGAGGAGGCGATTCACTATCACAAGCAACGAACTCACCAGGGAGCATGGTACACGCACAGGCTTGACGCATTAGGGCCAACAAGTACAGCAAAAGGAAAGGAAACACTGTCGCTGGAGAACGCGACGGTTGATGATATTCTAGGGGACGTACGGATGTTTGGGCAGCCGAGTGCATCCCACACAGCCGTCATGGGTGGTCCAGGCTACTTTGCGGCCCAACCAGTTCTGCAACCTATGAGCTTTACATCCTGGGGCCAACCCCCTCAGGCTACTGTTCCGTCACAATATCCCACAAACGCGGATTCTGACGACGAGGAAGAGGACGACGACGATGATGAAGAGATGTAACGACGGCAGGGCGGACCAAAAAGGGGATTAGGTGTTGAGGCTATGACTATGTGGGCTATCCTATGAGTTGCGACGGTGCTAGTCCATCGCGCACCATCCACAACGTGTCTATTACGACTAGAAAAAGAACAACCAATAGAAGAGGAGGAAAATGGCTGCACAGCCAATGATGACTTGAGTTTCAGCTCGTCAATGCTTACTGGGCCGGTGAGTCCTGGTGTTCCCAAAGGCCCAACCATCTGGGGAACTCAAAATTAGTCGAAATCAAAGCAACTGAAAGACGTGCTCAACTCACATTGACTAGCGACGTAGATGTCGATGTCCAGCTCGTCGGCCCAAGACCAGACCAAATTGGGGTTCTTGAGGAATGCTCTGCCAACAAGAACAGCATCCGCTTGCCCATCGGCGAGAATCTCGCTGGCCTCCTTTCCGGTCGAGATGCCACCGACGGACCCAACGAGTGTCCCGGTTCCCTCAACAGCCTTCTTGACAGCCGCAGCCAAGTGAGCCTGATATTTTGGCCCGAACTCAACCTTCATTCTCGCGTCAAGCGCGCCGGCGGAGACATCGAGGAAATCGACACCCTTGTCCGCGAGGATCTTGGCAAGCCTGGTGGCTTGGGTGATTTCCCATTGGGGGATCGACGGATCGTGTTCCAAGTAGTCGGTAGCCGCTAGCCGAACAAGGAGAGGGTAGTCCTCGGGGACGTTGGCGCGGGTCAGCTCGGTCAACTCGACCATGAGACGGATACGGTTCTCGAAGCTGCCGCCGTATCTGTCGGTCCTGTGGTTGGAGGCTGGGGACAGAAACTGGTTGATGAGGTAACCGTGGGCAGCGTGGATCTCGATGGTCTTTGTGGGGGAGCCGGGTTAGTCCGAGACATGGTGTTGAATGCAATCATCATGGACTTTCACTTACATCGTAGCCGATTCTCACGGCGCGCTTCACAGCCTCAACCCACTTGGTCTTGAACGTCTCAATCTCCTCGAGGGTCATCTCCTTAGGCACGTACGTCGCATTGGAGTATGCCTCTGCAGATGGGGCATAGACAGTCTCAGGCCATCCCCGTGCCTATTACAGCATCAGTCTCATCACAACCGCCACTGTCGCGTGACATTGTCTCATACCTTTTCACTTGCGACGGCCTTCCGGTCAACCCACGGGGCGATAGTGCTCGCCTTCCGTCCCGCATGTCCAATCTGCGCGCCGATGAAGGCCCCTTGGCTGTGCACAAAGTCAATGACCTCCCTGGCGGCTTCGACATGTGAATCGCTCCACAGCCCCAAATCCTCGGGAGAGATCCGGCCCTCGGGCACGACGCTCTGCACTTCTGTCAGGACGAGGCCCGCGCCGCGCACCGCATAGCCGCCCAGGTGCGTCTTGTGCCACGGTGTCATGTGCCCATCATCGGCGGAGTACTGGCACATGGGCGAGACGAAGATGCGGTTGTGCAGGGTGAGACCGCGCAGCGACAGCGGGGAGAAGAGCGTGCCGGCGGGCTGGGGATCCCTGGCGGTGCCGGCGGCCGGGTGCTGGATCGGGGTGAAGTACGGAACCTTTGGTCCGGGGGGTGTTAGCATTAAACAAGGCTAGTGGAGCGAAACGACCGTTTGGCAGAATGAATATGCAGCAGCATTACATACATTCGCGGCCCCCTCATTGATGAGATTGGGCTTGGAGATTTGCAGGGCGCCAGCAACCGGAGCTTGGTCCGCGGCCTGGGGAGCTTCGATCTTCGTCATTGCGTGATTGGCGCGTGTGTGGGGGTGCAGGTGCTATTTCAGACGGGGACTTGGATTGGATGGTTTAAGCTTGAATTGTGCGGTCGTGATAATTCCCGAGATGATGCGAGCTGTTCGTATTTCTGGGAGACATGCAGCAAGAGAGACTCGGCGAAAACGGCGAGACCTTATATGAACCGTCCATCTAAGCTTGTGTTACCATCACGACGGAGAGGGACACCACGCATGCGGCTTCGAGTTGAGCCGCACGGAGCTGAATAATCGCATCTAACGCCGACATCTTTGAAATGTCGGCGTTCTGTTTGGTCATCGGGCGAATTCAATTGCAGAAAATGCCGATGACGCCACGAGCGCGCGGTACCTAATTCGCTCGGGTTGACATTCCTCTTCTCGCTACACTGCTTCTGGAATGGTTCTGAAAAGAGTACATAGACTGATTACCTACGCGAGTGCAAGTGCTGACCGCATTAATACAGCGCCCTAAGTATCTCTGATATGTCGAACGTAAGGTGCAGCTACATATCCCGAGTGGTACATTCTTATGCAAGCAAACGCCGTCGCGTTTCGAATGTCAGACCTGATTACTCACAGTGAGTGACTAGCAAAAGCTGCGAAGGTGCACAAGGCCGCAATGGGTAATCCGAATAGCGCAATCTGTAAGCCGAGCAGCAGACGCGAACGCGAGGTTTGACAACGTCTTTGCGGAGGCGCCATGCGAGCCCAACGCGAGCCGTCTTGCTGCAGCCTGCAGAAGACCTGTGGCCTGGGGACGGGATGTCGCACAAAGTTCGGAAGGGCATTTGACAGCACCCCATGCATCACTGCTGAGTAACTTGTTCATGACTGGCTTGAGTTGTGTTCTTATGCCGGAGCATGAATATTCGTATACCGTAATGTATTGTGCATGCTGAGTCGGGAAAATATCCGGCCCTCCAGCGGAAAGTGTCCGTTGTATGAAACCCTGCAGGCGGACGGGCGAATGTTTATGTTTCGCGCGGCTCGGTGGTTCGCCGTCTCGCCGACGTGCCACAGTGGGGGGGATGCGGGAAGATGGTCCGGTTGCCGACCCTGGCTGGGCTGGAGGCGTTGAAGCGGGGCGTCCACAGTGTCTCAGACCCTACCCGGGCAAGAGAAGCAAGGATCCGGGGCTATGATAAGGTTGTATCGGCACGTCCACGATTCTTGGCTATGGACATTTTGCAGCTCTCCAGCTCGCGTCAACATCGACTGTGGGATCCTTTTCCCGCGGATTATGCTGCCTGGGCAGCAATCGATGGTATCAGAACGTTGCAACAGGTGAGGAAAACGGTTGTTAAAACGAACATAACGAGATTTTGTACGTAAAGATAACGGAAGACAATATTTTGACATGGTCAAGGGGACTGGAACAACTGATAAAATTTAACAGTTGTTAAAATTCATCAATATTTTGATGTTATTCGATTCCCGCGGAGTTCTGTTGACAGCCAGCTTACGTAAAGACAATGCGAATCACATATTTCATACACTAGTCGGATAGTCTGTTCAATCCATTATTAATGAAACGGGGAGCTGAAAAGTATAAAGTTGCAAGGTTGCAACGAACCTGTGGTATGGCGCCTATGCAACCCCGATTGGGACTTCCGCAAGACAAGGAATAGCCAACAAAAGTTGCATCCCGTCAACTGCTCAATCAAGTCGGTACACCGTGAGATCCAAACCCTTTTTAGCTTTTAACAAGATTTACAACCACTTGGTTTAGAGGAAATAGTTATTTTATTATTGAACTATTGATGTACTGGCGAACTGCAGTAATTGGTAACATAAGGTATCTGTTATATACGCCAGAACTATGACCTCGATCTCGCTAGGCTTGGAGCAGCGCAAAAATTGGCGGTCTAAGAGAAGGATTAGCTCATCAGCATGGATATACCAGGTTAAATACGGTCATCTGAGCCCCGAATCGAATGGTAGTTGTGCAAGCGCAAGGGTAGCTAATCAATTGAACATAGATCATGTCGTATTCTCCGATCCATACCTCATATAGAGTCCATTGAGGTTCAAAACCCCCGTAAAAGTTGAAGACTGCCGCAAAAAGCACCATGCGGCGACAATTCTCAAAAATGGGACTGCCACACAAATTGGGAGCCATTGAGCGTTGCTGTAATCTTTCAGATGCATGAGATTCATTTCGCTGGGATTTGAGATGGGATTCGCCGCTGCACCAAGAGGAGGAGGTGGCTCGAGTAGGTCTAAGCCTTCTTGTGTGGTAACGTCAAGTGAGTAAAATGATATGCTCTCGGCCGTTCCGCTGTGTAATTGAGTCCCGCGTTCAGTTACGATCGTACTGATGATGTACGCCTCTCTGCCGTAGCGTCTTGCAGGATTTAATGTCGTTTTGGTCATATTAGAAGCGAAAATACCGACCATGGCAAAGAGTGGACCAAGCAAGAGAAACACAGGCAGAATTTGGCCGAATGTCCACTGCTCCCCTTCCAAAGCGACTTCCGGGCTCTTTAAGCGTATCGTATTTCGAGTGGCTAAGGCTTTGACGGTTCCCCAAAGCAAAATGACAAATAATCAGTAAACCTTGCAATCTTCCCATGTCAGTTACGAGTTCCATGGCATTGGTTCTAAAAGCCTGGGAAGAAATCTTACCTCAAAGATGGCTGAGCCAAATAGATCGCAACTCAACCGCACCATCAGAAACTTTGCCAAAGGAGGTCTTGTGACAATGCTCATTTTCAATCTGTCTCTCCAGTCGAGAGATATGGTGGACCTTGGTTCTCCGAGTCGTAGTAAAGGCTTCTGTGCTAGCCTGCTTATTGGACTTCTCACCTGTACTCTGAATGCTGTAGACAGAGGCCGGAATAGTTTGAAAGATCGGGAAACAAATCCAAAGATGAGAAGTATGACGGACATGGCCATAGCCCGCCATTCTGGAGTTGTTTTGACGGGGCCACGAGATGCCCACGGCTTATCAGCCGTAACCCCTTGTCGCCAGTAGCCGTAGCTTTGATTAAAGTAGCATATGGCCTGTGATGAAAAGTTGGAGCTGTTGAAAACCCAGTTGCTAGCAGTCCCACAACGACTAACACTAGAAGGGCCAACATCAGAAAAACCCGGACGTATTTTGCCCATGGAGTGGTGTTAAGAAGCCCTCTTAGAATATTCAATCCTGATAAATGTGTAACAGTGGAAAGCCACGCGAGGTAAACGACGATCTGCCAGTGACAAGCATCGAGACCGCACTTCAACAGCATATAACCGCTGACTAGGATTCCGATTCCGGTGACAATTTGAATATTGCATAGAAGGACGATTTCATATGCCTCGCTGAGTAATATTAATACCAATCTCTTTTCCCAAGTGATCATTACCTATCCTCACCTCGTCGAACACAGCTCGAAGTCGCTCGCGTGTCCTGGGCATCGGCAGCGACGGCTTTCGTAACCAGGCGATCAATCTTTTGTCAATCGGATTTGGCTTCCAATGGGGGTTCTCAGCATTTTCATCGGCAGTGATGCGGTGTTTGAACGGGTTTTCGCTTGGGTCAAACGCCAGAAAGCAGCTGACAGTCACCAGCAAAACAACGAGATAAGCGGTCCCGATCAACCCTATGAGTGCCTGAACAGCAAATGTATAAGCAGGAATGCAATGAACCTAAGTTTCTCAAAATACGATACGGCTTGCTTACTCCAGTGCCCGAGATGTTTGCATGAGGTTCAAGGGGGCCCCCCTTCAAGTTGTCGCAATCGATCGCATGACAGAAGCTAGCGTTCGACATCGTATCGCGCAATGTGTTGGATTGGATTGCTGTTGATTGCAAGCAATTGATATATTTTAATGGGGAAGAATCAAGCCAATCGAACGTTTGATATTGGCATACAAAGAAAGGCTGATTGCCAGAGGACTGATGTTTCGTTTCACTCCAAGAGCATCACCGGAATCCTTGCGTGGAAAGTAACTTAGAGGTAATCCCGAGCCAACGATGAAGTCAAACGGAAAGAATTTACAGCTGATCAAAAGCCAGAGTGTCCATGTCGGGAAATCCGAGACACCTGTTCGACTGACAATCATAGAGCCAATCGAGGTAACACAGTATGATGTGATTCATAACCGGGGCTTGAGACATAATCCAAGTCACGAACCAAGTGCCTCCGAAGAGAGGTATGCGCAATCTATGCATTATCGTGTAGAAGGAGTAGCGTGATTGGTGAAAGTAAGACATTACATTTGCCTGGGGCTCTTATTTCTCAGTATGATATTTTGTTGGGTCACGTACTGATTGTTTGGTGCATTATTGGAGCTTTCTCTGTCCTCAGCACTCGAGCAGCGAAAGTTTTGCGAAAGACACGTGGCACCAACTCGAAAGAGATGTGGTCGTTTCTCCAATTGGTCATGAATCTTGCCTTCCATTATCTCAAATGTGAGCTTACCTGAAGTAGGATCCCCGATCCTCTCTTTGTGTCGGACAATCTTGTAGATATGAGCTGAACTATTCGGGAGATCGTTGACGAGGCTAGTCGGTTTAGATAACGTCCATGCGGGTTGCAAGTTGAATTAAATGTTTGGTGCATGGGAATGCCAGTAACACGATAAGCTTTTGCTTCCGTTTCCACGAGATCGATGATAAAGTCTCATTTGCCGCATAGACCGGGCTTTACATGATATACTTCCATTGTATCGTCACAAAGTACCATTCCTCTGCGAACGCAATAGTGTAACTAATAGACGACTGAAAAAAGGAAGCAGTCTTATATTTAGCTAGAGTATCTGCGAGATTGGGTATCAATGATGTGCGAGCTGATTCTTTATTGATGTTCCCCCCCCTCAGCACTTGTCGCCAACCACAGCCTTAGCCTCGAAGACGCCGTCGTTGAAGGTGAAGTCCTTGGTGTTTCCGTGCACGCAGTTGCAACGGTAGTTAATCTGTGTAATGGTGGTTTGGAAGTTGATGTTGCTCAAAGTACCGCCCAAGTTCGTGCACTGGGATCTGAGTGCCGCTTCGACATAGGCCGTCGTGCACTTGGGTGACCATGTTCCGTCCTTGGCGATAATGCAGCTTCCGGAGTAGCTCATTCTCCGGGGATCGCCATGGGCTGCGGAGACAAGCGCAGGAAGAAGGACAAGGAGGTTGATGAGTTGCACTGAGCCAAGTTAGGTTTGACTGTGGTGCGCGAGGCAAGAGGCTGAGTGAATGCTTACTGGTTGCGGTCAGTGTTGAACGTCAATTGAGTTATTGCGTAGAAGAAGTTGAGGAGTGCTTCGGACGAGACTGCCAAGTTTAAATAAGGTGAGATGGGATGAGAAGATGGCAGCCGGAACGATATGCCGATGATTACTTATTGCAATCGAGAACAGAGTTCAGCACCAACCTAGTTCGCACATTGGTAACTTCCGCGAATGCCGTAGGATGTTCCAAATAATATCAGTTCCGGGTTGATTGACATGATATGTGGAGAGCAATTCATCTCAGCGCCTTGCGGCGAGTCAGCAGCGGAATGACTGCAGCCTGGTCTGTGATTTTCTGCGGGAGGAGCTTTTGCGAAAGTGAGACGCGCCCTACTTCTTTGCCGAGTGTCAGAAAATGGATGCTTCGCCCCAAACTTTAATATATTAACTAACACAACTCTTACCAGGAACTATCGGGACTCTAGTTGCGAGACAAGGCACAGACCATGATGCGGACGACATGAATATAAGTATTTCGGCATGTCCTCATGAGCCACACTACTCCGTGAGTTGTTGAAGTTTAACTCAGAGAATGAACAACGTTGGAGAATTCCAAGCAGAACCTTCCAAGCAAGGCCACGTTGGGATGCGCGAACATATGGCAATGGTCTCATCCTCCAAAGAACCCACCAGCTTTTACTCTTGTTAATAAGCACGGTTTAGTCGCGCAAAACTCAGGGACATCAGTCTTGCCGTACGTGGTGATGTTCTCTGTGCTTTATGACCGAAGTAATTTCTTCAATATCCTCTTGGCAAATGACACCTTGTCTTCGTCCTCTTGCTCGGCGGAGTAGAAACGTCGGTCAGTGTCAAGGTCAATCGATCGGCTATCAAGCCAACGACGACCGCCATAGAAGAACTTGGCAGCGATATAGATGATGATGCCAACCGGTACCGAGACATAGGTCGAGAAAAAAGATTTCGCTGACGTCTCACCGTTGAAGGGCCAGATGGCCAGATAGAACTGGACAATCGTCAATATGATGCACCATATCAAGCCCCAGTAAGCTGCCCATGGCCAAGTCTTCGTTCTCCATGGCAGGTCATCGACGCTTCGTCCCTGAACTTTCCAGGCATGTCTCATGCGGATGTGGGAAAGGCAGATCATCGACCATCCGAAGAGTGTGAAGAGCGAGACGAGACTTGACAACCAGCTGAAGACTTCCGCACCTGTGTGACTGGCATTGAGGTACGAGAGTCCACCACCGATCAGTAGTGTCGGTACTAAGGTATACCAAGGTCTTCCCCGACGGTCTGCCCTCTTCATCCACTGTGAAAAAAACGTGTTTAGTTAAAGTTTCAGAAGCACTGAAGCAGCAGGACTCACAGATGGGGCCATGCCAATCTCAGACAACCCAACCAGCGTTCGGGATCCCGCATACGCGTTGATACTACCGGAAGAGAGAACCGACAGGAATATGACAGCGTTCATCATGTGGGCCAACGGCTCCAGACCGGCGTTTCTGAAGGCGATTACAAATGGTGATGCGTCCGTGGCATGCGCTCCGCTACCGAAGAGGTTCGAGTCGGAAGGGGACACGGTGATGGTGATCATCAGGGAGCCCATAAGATAAAACATGGCAAGTCGAAGTGCAATGGACTTGACTGCCTTTGGAACCGCCTTCCTCGGGTTGCTGAGCTCGGCTGCGACAAGACCAGTCGTTTCCGAGCCAGACAGAGCGAAAATGCACACTGGCATGACAGTCAAGAAACCCCTGAAGCCGTTCAAGAAAGGGGCATCGTTCCAGTATCTGAAACCGATTGCCTCATGATTCGGTGCCCCGCCTGCTGAAATGACGATTGAGGCGATGATGACGACGAAGATCCAGCCGAATTTGACGGCCGCCATGACGACCTCAACCTCGGCGAAGACCGTGACGGCACCGACGTTGATCAGGGCGATGACGACCCAGAAAATTGAGATCCATGCGGCCTTGGGTACCGACGTGTTCCAGAAGGACAGAATGGTAACGATGCCCTGTAGCTCGTTGGCGACGGCAATCCAGTAGTTGAACCAGTAGCACCATCCCAAAGCGAATCCAGCGGCTGGATCGACGAATTTGTTGGTCCATTGGACAAAAGCGGAGGGGAGTGGGTACATCACAGCCATTTCCCCGATGGACTGTGAGACTGCCCAGACCATGGAGCTGGCGATGATGACTGTAGTTTTGATTGTCCTGGTCAGCGTCCAAGTCTCGAGCAAAGCTTGCATAGAAGGGCTCACGGGGGAGCGCATCCGGACATAGAGGCCAATGCAGAAGTACTCACATCCGATGAACAATGAAGCTGGTCCAGCTGCAACTAGTCCTTTGCCACTTCCGAGCCATAAGCCCATTCCAATCGACGAGCCTATCCCAATCATTGTGATATGCCGGTTTCCAAGTCTTCTTTGTAGTTGCGAGTCGGCGCCATGGTCAATGTCGACTATGCTGGTCTTCCGGGTCGACTCCTTGTCGTGAAGCCCGACCTCAACATCCCCTTGAGCCTTTACCTCCATTATTGACAGTTATCAATCAATCTTAGACAGTGCCACGAAAGGCCAAATGAATGATTCTGTAAGTTTTTGATAACCTGGAGTTGGTTTGACCAAGACTGGTTTCGGGGCATCTGTCATTCGGATTGATGAGTTTTGAATAGCGCTACTGCATGACGAGTAGTATTCAATAACCTCGCACTTGGTTGCGTATCAGCCGAGAACCCATCTAGATAAAGCAGGGAGGGGGCGAAAGATAAGAGATACGATTGTCAAGCTTTAGGGGTAAGATAAGGGTATATCGATCTGAATCTGTCCGAGCTTTGCGGGGTTATCACTGGCGGGAATAGTGTCTTCCTGACCTGCTTCTCCTTTGACCGGGCCACGGCCCGAGGCGGGGGACCTGTCTGTGGTGATTTGCGAACGTTGATAAGGAGCACGCCAGTTTGTGGAGACCGGAAGTTTGATAAGAAGGTGCAACTGTGGGGATTCTGTACATAAAAGCTGGATTATCGTTGGGGGTCAGATACAACTTCATGCTTCCGGTCTGGGTAAGGTTTACGGGTTGGACCTGCTTCAAAGTTCGGACCATGGGCCTACATAAATGCCTCTTAGACAGTAAAAAGGAACACGCGGGGTAACCACCGACTGGCTTAGAATGGTCCGCTTTAGTTTCTTCGTCGCCAATAACAATGAACTGCCGCATCCGAGAATCTGGGGTAAGTCGGCCGAGCCCCCGCAATCAGTCGATTCAAGACCAACCGAACAGGCGTGAGTTTCCTCTCACATCCTGTTTAGGCAATCCAAACCCCACGTAATTGAAAGTCACAGAGTTAGACATGCGGGACTTCAGATGAACAACCTCTGCAGGCGACTGAGAGACCTCTTTCGGCGATGTCCTGCGACGCGGTTTCTTTCGTTTCCAACACGCTTTCTCGTGGAGGCCTTTCTACTTGGATCACTTGAAACAGCTCGCGGCAGCGGCTCAGCTTTTGAATGCTCGCAGGTTCACAACTGAGACTCGCATTACGGTCGATTTGGTCCATTTCGGCGGGAAACAGACAGGCATGGTTTCAGACAACGACCGATTCTGTAAGTTATCGCAAACAGCATTAGCATAACGCTTTGGGTTGCACCGACACGTTTGGCGTTTTTATGGAGGGGATCATCAGAATTGCAGAGATGAGGATGCTCAGAGATGAGCTGAAAGGCATATTGAGCTGGGCGGACATGATTGGGAGGGACTAAGCCCACAGAGGCTGGTGAGCAATCTTGTCTCGAATCCATGTCATTTTGAGTATTGTTACTCTCTTGCCCGCATCTGGTCTAATAGTCGTTGTTCTATTTCAAAAGTTTTATTTTTATTTTTTATATAATATTTCTACCTCTCTCGTTCGTTGGCATCCTCCTTATCATATTTGTCCGTATCCTTGTCCCTGTTATTTTCTTTCTCTCTACTACCCACGTCGCCCTCGTCGTCGTCTGTACCCACTTCCCGCCCGGATAGCAAAACTCTATTGATAAGCCGTCATAAGCTTTATATATGTCTCGACGGAGTGAGATCTTACTAATACCGGCCCTGAGCATGTTGAGTAATCCTTGTTATCCGTCCGGAACAAGACGGAATTCGCTTATCAACTGCACTCTCGAACACAATAATAACCCCCGAGAGAGTGCATTGTTGCCATCTGAACATCATCGTCGGAACTCGTAGAACCCAAGCCTGCCGAAATCCGCTGAGGGACAAAGTAGAGTGCAGGCCTTCTGTCAGGTTTCATCGAGAAAACTAATTACTGATTATTGATCTGCCAGGGTACAGCAGCATTGATTGATGCGCTCGACCTTGTATGGCTCGCGGCTGGGGTTCAAGTAGGTGCCTTGACCCACGATCAGTAATCACGAAGTGACCCAAGAGACGTGCGTACGCCTAGTCCTCTGGCGGAGCTGCAACTCACGCGAAAGAAAAACAATCAACATATAATTCCGCAGTCAGCCATAGGAGCCTTTGTGTGAGTGTTCTCTTCGCATTCAATCTGCTCGACTTAGTTTCATCAAGACTTCAAAATTCCAACCAAACCAATCTTCTCAACATGCCTCTCTGGCTCATTTACCACCCACCTAATATCTTCACCGACGACGAGACCAAACGCGCTCTTTCCAAGGACATCACCAGTTTCTACACCAACTTTGGCCTTCCAGCTTTCTACGTGGTGGTGAACTTCATCAAGCTGCAACCCAATGATGTCTGGGTGGGAGGGAAGCCCAGAACCAGCGATACCTTCATAAGAATTACCGTGGATCACATTGCTGTGACGCTTCCAAACAATAATGAAAGTTACAAACGCACCACGGATGGCCTTCACCAGATCCTGAAGCCGCACATCGAGGACAAGGGGTACGACTGGGAGTTTCATATCAATGAGACGGAAAGAAGACTTTGGATGATCAATGGGATGTACCCACCGCAATGGAAAAGTGAGGGAGAGAAGATTTGGTTCGACGAGAACAGACCTGTTGCGTTGGATCCATCGAAGTAAAGCCATGCGCATCTTGGCAGGCTAGCTGGCTCAGACACGACATGGGGCTGCCCCTTCTTACGGCCACGCGACCAGAAGCTCGAGCAAGGGGAGATAATCAATGAAACCGCCTAAACTTCCAATGTATGTGAGGCTATGTTTTCTGTGAATCTAACTACTCCGATGACGAGAACGATAGTAACGACGACGATGACGGCAGTGCGTATAAGGTAGGAACCACGGGAAAAGTAATTGCTCCAGCACAGAAGAATTCGGGCACAGAAGAATTCGGGCTGTCTCTTATCTATGACAACCGGAAGCTATCCAAGTTCTCAAGGCATCTTGAGCCTCAAGTAATCTTCAGTGCTATGCTTCTCCCCACTCTCAGTTTCCTGACTTGCATCAACCTGACTCTCCTTGAGACCCTTGGCCGCTCTCTCACCCAAGGCTAGCAAGCTTCCCATGCCAAGCATTTCAAGCACACTAACATCAAATCCGAAGACTCCCTTCCACCAGCTACGCATCTCCACCGCAACGAGACTATCTAATCCAGCATCTTGAAGAGACATTTTCGCATCAATTTCATCGTCGTTATCTGCAGGCTTCAGTAGAAGTCGGAAAAGCTGTCCGCCGATCTGTCTTGCCAAGAAGACAGGGGCTTCAGGCGATGAAAGAAGTTGAGGATCCGTCAATGTGGACGTGAGAAACTTCTGGAGGGCACTGGAATTGACCGTGTCGACTTCTGTTACCCTCCTCGCACCATCGGAGTTGTAGTAAACAGCCATGCGGCGATCTTCCTTCCAGATCACTCTGTTCGATGGATCCGAGAGAGAGGTGAGGCTTCGATGGCCTAGTATAAGCTGCGATGGGTTGAAGAAGGTCCTTGCAGGGACCTTGCTGAGTTGAGGGATCGGCTGATTGACCAGGATTGAAACTGCGTCAAGCAGCTGTGGAATCTTCACCCCATACATGCCTTGGGCTGTGAGCTTCTCCATCATCACAGGGTTCTCTGCGAGGTACCCATAGTCTATCATTGCGCCGACGTCAATAGAAGCAGCAGCCATGCCAAGGCTGTGTCTGTACTGAACAAAAGCATCGAGGAAGGTGTTGGCCCCTGCGTAATTGGCTTGGCCCTTCTGTCCAACAATGCCAGAAATCGAGCTGAAGAGGAGGAAGAAGTCCAGTTTAAGTCCAGAACTGACACAGGCATTGTGCAGATTCCATGTTCCCAGAACCTTGGGGTCAACTGCGGTGGTCCACTCCTCATGAGTCATCTTGGTGAAGCCCTGGTCTCGCAAAATCATGGACATGTTGATGACACCTCTGATCGGCTTTTGTGAAGTCGCGATGGCTTTTTCGACATCAGCAAGGCTTGTGACGCTGCCCTTCACTGCTGATATCATGCAACCTTGGTCTTCCAGCTCCTTGAAGAAGTTTCGGTTGTCCTCCGTGTTGCCACCTTGCCGAGAAAGATAGACAAAATTCCTGGCGCCGTGCTTGACCATCCAATTTGATACGAGTCGACCGAGACTGCCAACACCACCCACGATGAGATAAGCTGAGTTGTCATCGAAGCTTGTTTCGAATGAAGTACTACAGCCCGCGGTTTGAATCGTGGACAATCCGTCCATCTTCAACACAATTTTTCCGATATGCTGCCCCTTTTGCATATGACGAAAACATTCTTCAGCAGCGTCAGCGTTAAACGTCTTTATGGGACGCAGAGCGGTGACGTGACCCGTTTCGTAAAGTTCAACAATCTTCTTCAGTAGCCTGATCACTAATTAATAGCTTTACTTTCACATGACGTAGCGCTATTGACGGGACTTACCTATCGCCCTTTTCGGGCTTCAACTCGATCAAATGTCCCAAATCCACGCCGTGATAGCTTCGATTCATCTCGAATGGATTCAAAGCAAGTTTACCGTTGCCGATGAAGTCACGTTTGCCGATTTCTATCATTCTGCCAAACTCGGCGACGCAGCTCCAAGACGCATGTAGAAGCTCGCCGCTTAGTGAGTTGAGAACTATGTCAACTCCCCTTCCGCCGGTTGCTTCGAGGATATCCGGGAGAAACGATGCGTCGCGTGACTGAAAGATGTGATCTCTGGGCATCCCAAATGTAGACATCAGATACTCAGCCTTTTCTTCGCTACCAACAGTGCAGAATATTTCTGCTCCAGCCATATTGCAGATCTGTATAGCAGCTAGGCCAACCCCACCGCAGGCTGAATGAATAAGGACTGAATCGCCGGCTTCAAGGCGGCCGACCTCAAGGAGTCCATGGATGACGGTCGAGAAAACGCACGGCATTGTGGCTGCGTCCTCAAAACTAAGAGAATCCGGGATTTTGACGCAGAGTTTCTCCGAGATCGTGATACCAGTCGAGAAGCAACCGCCGCCAAAAACGAAGACTCTGTCACCGGGCGCAAGGGCGCGGACCTTGGGCCCAATTTCACGGACGACGCCAGCTGCTTCAAGACCCATGCGGCTGTTGGCTGAGTCAAC